AAAGCGCGGGGGCCCAGAGTCCCGGCAGCTCCCGCAGACTGGCCGGGCCCCTGTGCCCACGGTACCACTTCTTCCTGAGACCACGCCCCTCTACGCACGCGTTCCCGCCTCCTTTGTGGCCACGCCCCCTCGTCCTCGTGGCCACGCCCCTTCCTGCCTTCTGCTCTTGTGTCATGTTTTTATCCTGAAATCCCCGCATGAGTACGGCCCAGATTCCTCCCAGTAGCTGGTCAGGTAGCGTCCTGCCCCCTCTCTGTGCCCCGTCGCATGCATCACCTAAGAATCCTCATCCACCCCAGAGCAGTTCTTCCCTGACCTCTTATCCCGAGAACGGGCGTTGGCCGTGGTGAACAGAAGCAGAAAATGCAGAGCTACCTATTCTAAGAGGATATCTACCAGAGGGTCGGTGCCTGGGCCATGTCACCGACCAGCGGAGACCTAACTACAGGCTTGCGTCATGGCCTCTCCCACCGACTTCCACGCACTGTTCTCAAGACCCATAGAAGCTGAGGCCATCGTAGCTCAGGGAAACCATTGCACCTGTGTTTTTTTTTTCTGGAGCCTTTCCCTAGCAGGGGTAATACTACTTCCTTCCCCTACACAGCTAGGAGTGTGCTTGCTTCTGAATTTTTTTTTAATACATTTTATTGATATTTTATAGAGAGGAAGGGTGAGGGATCGAAAGTTAGAAACATCGATGAGAGAGAAACATCAATCAGCTGCCTCCTGCAGACCCTCTACTGGGGATGTGCCCGCATCCAAGGTACATGCCCTTGACTGGAATCGAACCTGGGACCCTTGAGTCTGCAGGCTGATGCTCTATCCACTGAGCCAAACCAGTCAGGGCTGCTTCTGAATTTTTATATGTCACCTTCCATAATCATTTATATGTAAAAAGTAATTAATAAAATATTTGATTGAAAGAAGAAGGAAAGCTGTGCCAAATAGTGCTAATAAGGTACATCAATGAAAAAAAATTATATTTGTAAAGGATGTTACAATCATGGTACAGCTTTATGAAATAATACATTAATATTTACATAATGTGCATAATTCTATTGAGACTGCATACAATCATGAAAATACATGGCCTGGGCCTAGAAGGCAGTATTCAAAAAATCAATAGTTTTAGAAGAATGGTAGAAATATTGGTGATCACTTTTTTAAAAATATATTTTATTGATTTTTTTTACAGAGAGGAAGGGAGAGGGATAGAGAGTTAGAAACATCGATCAGCTGCCACGTGCACACCCCCTACTGGCGATGTGCCCGAAACCAAGGTACATGCCCTTGACTGGAATCGAACCTGGGACCTTTCAGTCCGCAGGCTGACGCTCTCTATCCCCTGAGCCAAACCAGTCAGGGCTGGTGATCACTTTTAATATTCTGTAAGTTTGTGGTGATATCATTTTTGCAACTGAGAAGATAGTACAAATACATCCTGTTGCTCTGTAAATAGCCTAATAGCTATGAATTGTGCCAGCATCCATTTTTAAGATATTCCCAAAAGCCGGTGCTATAATATGCATGCATGCCTACTGTCTCCACATCCGTTCCCCCCACTCTCTCTTTAATCCATTGTACCACTCCCATAGCTTTTCTCAAGGTGAACATAACGCACATCCCAGTGCTTAACTTTCAGCCCTCACTATGTACCTTATTAGCATTATTTGGCCCAGTTTACCACTCCTTTGTATTTGAATGCTTATCTGTAAATATTGCAGTATGTAGTTCTAATATAGAATATCACATAAGTAGCAACGTAACAAATTATAATACATCTAAAATAAGAAACAGTAATTTCTCAATATCGTCAAACATCTAGTTGGTGTTCCAATTTGCAACTGTCTCATAAATGTTGCAATTATTTTTCAGTTTGGTTGAGTCAGGATCTAAATGAAGTTTACACACAATGATTGGTTGGAGCATCTTTGGAGTTCTTTTAAATCTGTCCCCACTCCTTTTTTCTTCTTATGCAAGTTCTTTCCTTGTTTTTTAAATATATTTGTACTGATATCAGAGAGAATGAAAGAGGTAGAGAGAGATGGAAACACCAACGATGAGAGAAAATCACTGATCGGCTGCCTCCTGCATGTCCCCTACTGGGGATCGAGCCCACAACCCAGGCATGTGCCCTGACTGGGAATCGAACCGTGACCTCCTGGTTCATAGGTCAACACTCAACCACTGAGTCACGCTGGCGTGGCACCTTGCAGATGTTTTTAAAGATGGACTCCATCTATGTCACCTACACCCGTGGTCGGCAAACTGCGGCTCGCGAGCCACATGCGGCTTTTTGGCCCCTTGAGTGTGGCTCTTCCACAAAATACCACAAGTGGGCACACGTACAGTGTGATTGAAACTTCTTGGCCCATGCGCAGAAGTCGGTTTTCAGCCTGGGCGAGTCTATTTTGAAGAAGTACTGTTGATATTTGGCTCTGTTGACTAATGAGTTTGCCGACCACTGACCTAGACCATAGGATTTTAAGTAATTGTTGATAAAATATTAGACAACTTCTCCTTCCCATAGAGGGTTGAAGATGGAAAAACTTGATTCAACAGCAACTGGAGTAAACGGTATAGGAGATTGCAAAGAGGGGAAAGAAGATATGCAGAAAATCCTCTTCTCATTCAATAAATAACACCTTGAAGAACTTCCTTCCCATTCAGAAGCTCACCCTTCCCCATTCCTGGCTCACTTTTCTGTTTTCACTAAAGGACAATGCCTAAAGGAATACGAGGCATTTTTACTCTTTCTGACTGCTAAAAGTATCTCCATCTGTGATAGAAATGGCAGATGCCGAAATCCATTTTCATTTTTAGAAGTCCATGCTTTCCAATCCAGGGCAGCTGCAAGAACGAAAGTGAATGTTACTCTCCAAGGTGCCGTGAGGAAGAAGGCAAGAGGATTGAGAGCGGGTGTAGGAGGGAGGAAGGCAGGCCAGTGTCCCTTCTTGGTCTTACCCATTCCTCTTCCCTCTCTGGGACTGCAGACACACGTGCGCGCACACACAGTCCGTTTGTGGGAAAATACATCTCAGCCTCCTCCTAATACAGGGAGATTATGATGCAGGGGCTGCCCTGTGAAGGACACTGGCCACATTGTGAAGTCAGATCTTCCTGCCAGGTTTGCCCACGCGCCATGCATTAGACCTCAGTCAGGTTCCTCCCTGCCAACATCCTGGTGACCACTCGGGCTCCTCGTCCCCACAGAATGGGATTGTAAGGTCAAAGGAATGAGTCCTAGAGCAACTGAGACAGCAGGAAGGCAACGTCACACCTGGGAGGTTATCCAAGTTGGCAAATTTACGTTCTTTTTTCTGTACAGAAATAAACACGTCCCGGAGTCCCCATGGATTCCGGGAAGGAGAAGTGGCTCAACAATGCACTTCAGGTGGTCAGTTTCAAGATAGCCCTGAAGGGGTTCGAAAGGCTGGTCGAACGTACAGCGGCCCAGAAAAAGGATGAGAAAGCGGGCTTGTTTACCCAAAAAGAAGGTAAGATCGGTGACTCCAGGGCGGCCCAGTGGAGTCTGTTGATTAGAACTGGGAAATGTTTGAAACAACACAGCTTCATAGCAAAGACACCAAATAGGGGGCCTGACTCCTTGTTCTGCCTCAGTCCTGAAAGCTAAGTGATCTTGGGGAAGTTTTTCTTTGGTTTTTGTTTTTTTTCACTTGTCTGAACCTTAATTTTCTCGAGTATAAAATTAGGGGGTGGATTAAATGACATCTAAGGGTTCTTCTAGCACAGTGATGGCGAACCTTTTGAGCTCGGCGTGCCAGCATTTTGAAAAACCCTAACTTAACTCTGGTGCCGTGTCACCTATAGAAATTTTTTGATCTTTGCAACCATAGTAAAACAAAGACTTCTATTTTTGATATTTATTTTATATATTTAAGTGCCACTTAACAAAGAAAAATCAACCAAAAAGATGAGTTCGCGTGTCACCTCTGACGCGCGTGTCATAGGCTCGCCATCGCTGTTCTAGCATATGGCTCAGTGAGCACACTAACCTTGTTCTCATGTGAAAGCTTGCAATCACAAAGCCGTATTGAAAAATCTCCTTCCTTTCTAGTACCCGTATGAGTGTATATATATATACACACACATATATTTCTTTATAGTATCTGTATACATAGTATATGTATATACAATTATATAGAGAGGATATTATATATATATACATTTATACAGACATTATAGTAGATAGTATATATTTTATAAAGTATAGATTTGATAAAGACTAAGTACTACTAGACAAACTAATACTAGACAAACTACCTTCTGTGACAGAGGGACTGACATGACAGATTGAGAAGGGAGAGATGTAATCATGACTTTCATCAGACTGCTAATTCTGCCATACATTCACTTTTTGTTTGTCTGTCTGTTTGTTAATCCTCACCCAAGGATTTTTCCCATTGATTTTTTAGAGAGAGTGGAAGGGAGGGAGAGAGACAGAGAGAAACATCGATATGAGAGACACATCAATTGGTTGCCTTTTGCATGCACCTCGACTGCAACTGAGGTACCTGCCTTTGACCCTCGACTGGAATTGAACCCAGGACCCTTCAGCCCATGGGCCAATGCTCTATCCACTGAGCCAAACCAACTTGGGCCACATTTTTGGTTGTTTCTTTGTTTAAATACATTTTTTATTGATTTCAGAGAGGAAAGGAGAGGGAGAGAGAGATAGAAGCATCAATGATGAGAGATCAAGCCCACAGTCCAGGCATGTACCCTGACCAGGAATGAACTGTGACAATAAGAAAACTGTGATTCATTTCTGATCTTTGTATTCCTGAACCAAACTCCTAAAATAGTTGCAACATAAGCTACGGAGGAGGTATTAGACACCAAAGTAATACTTTCTTCTGACTACATAATCTTTTGCCAAGTCCTTAGTTCTATTTCCAATGGAAAGAAAACCTTTAAAGTGCAGACGAGCCCTAGTTGGTTTGGCTCAGTAAACAGAGCGTTGGCCTGCAGACTGAAAAGTCCCGGATTCGATTCCAGTCAAGGGCACATGCCCGGGTTGTGGGCTTGATCAATGATACTCTCTCATCAATGATGTTACTATCTCTCTCTCTCTCTCCCTTTCCCTTCCTATCTGAAATCAATATAAAAAAAATTAATTAAAAAAAAATCCTATATAATAAAAGGCTGACATTCAAATCGACCAAACGGCAGGATGACTGGTCACTATGACACGCACTGACCACCAGGGGGCAGACGTGCAATGAAGGAACTGCCCCCTGGTGGGGAGTGCAGTCCCACAGAGGGAGCACTGCTCAGCCAGAATCCAGGCTCACAGCTGGCGAGTGCATCAGCAGTATTGGGAGCCTCTCCCACCTCCACCGTAGGTCGTTAGTACGGAGCGAGGTGTCCCAAACTGCGAGAGCCCCAGACTATGAGAGAGATGTCTGAGTTCGGGCCTAAGCTGGCAGTCAGACATCCCACCAGGGGTCCCGGACTGCGAGAGGGTACAGGCTGGGCTGAGGGACCACCCCCTCCACACCAGTGCATGAATCTCGTGCACCGGGCCTCTAGTACATAAATAAAGTGCAGAAGAATCGAGCTTTAGTAGGCTGAGATAATGGAGCAGATTAGCAGATAGAAGAGGCTGCAGCCACAGGCCGTGCAGCTCTTGGAATCTGATGCCCACGTGTTTGCCCTTTCTTACGACGCAGACATGATTAACTATGAGAAGTTCTTTGCGGAGGTGCAGGACCTCTTCGGCATGGAAGTGAAGAATCAAGACGTGAAATGCTTCTACAGGAAACTCTGCAACAACCCTGATGTGCCCACAGACTGGTGTGAGGTAGTCACTCTTCATGTTTCTAGTATGAAACGCATGTCGTATTTTTCTTTCTTTTTTATTTTTTTAATATATTTTATTGATTTTTTACAGAGAGGAAGGGAGAGGGATAGAGAGTTAGAAACATTGATGAGAGAGAAATGTCGATTCAGCTGCCTCCTGCACACCCCCTACTGGGGATGTGCCCGAAACCAAGGTACATGCCCTTGACCGGAATCAAACCTGGGACCTTTCAGTCCTCAGGCTGACACTCTATCCACTGAGCCAAATTGGTCCCGGCTGAAATTGAGTTCACTTTTAGTTTAGAGTTGACCTTTTTTTAGAAAATATATTTTTAATGATTTCAGAGAGGAAAGGAGAGGAAGAGATAGAGAGAAACATCAATGATGAGAGAGAATCATGAATCGGCTGCCTCCTACACGCCCCACACGGGGGATCGAGCCCACAACCTGGGCATGTATCCCGACCGGGAATTGAACTCTGACCTCCTGGTTCCTTGGTCGATTCCCAACCACTGAGCCCCAGCAGCTGGGCAAGGTGTTGGGCATTCAACCAAGACTTTAAATCCAACCAGCATCCAATCTGTTACTTCGCAGTGGATTCTGAAATAGTGTTCGTGTTGACATGTGTTGTTTGGGATTGTAGATCTTTGGGTATTACTCCTCTGAAGAAGACCCTCTTGCTTCCCAAATGAATGAAGAAAATTTGGTTTTCCTTGTGTCTAGAAAACAGCGAGTCGTAATTACAGGTGATAGTATGACTTTCCCTTCCAAGTTAATATGGGTGCTACT